AGAGAGAGAGAGAGAGAGAGAGAGAGAGAGAGAGAGAGAGAGAGAGAGAGTAAAAGACATCCGTGTTTCTCTGCCTCTTCCCACATGGTGTTAGCATTCAGGCGTCTGTACTGGCCTGTCCTCACGGTCCTGACAGGATAGACCTCAGCTGCAGCAGCCACTAAGAGAACCCGCTGTGCGCCATTGGCTATGTTTCCTTATAAAAGGCGGGCCTTGCCCACCTCCTGTCTCTTTCTTTTTCTCTTCCTTTGCCCTCATCCCTAGGGACCTGCTTCTGCCCCCTTCTCTGCCCCTCCTCTCCCCTCCCCTTGGTAAACCTCCCACGTGGGCCCTGTTGCATGATGTGACTCCAAAAACACAACTTTGGGTGCCGTGACATTTGACACAGGCTCTCCTGGCTGTTTCTCCGCCCTCTGGTGTTCTGAGGCAGGCCGGGACCCTGGAACCTTCAACCTTGTCAGTTTCCCGACTAAAGGATTGCTGGGTCCCTTCCTCAACACCGGCATGATTGGTAAGCCTCCACCCCCACCTCCACCTCTGGCCATTTCCCACGAGTGAAGCTTTGTTTCTTAAGCACAGTCCTCGCCTTCTGGCTTTTCTCGAAGTCCTGGTACCAGGTGACTGTCTCACTCGCGCTCTTAGCCCATTGGCCCCTGCTTTTTTGGATGACGATCCACTGAGCAGCCTGTGCCTCGTCGTCGGTCCTGGCTGAACTTCTGGGACGTTACAGATTCCAGCCCTTGGATCTTCTCTACCTCACTCATGGAAAATGTGCCTACCCCCATGCCTACCACCAGACTTACGGGCTGAACTTACCTGCCTTTGCCCCAGCACCCCTCAGATATCAATTCAAATGGCGGCTTACCGGCAACCCCCATCCCAGTATTTCACGGGACCTTTGCAACTTCTGCCAAGATCCAATAGATGGAAGGGGGGTGCCCTGTTTTCAGGCTTTTTCCGAGCCCTTCTCTCTGTTCTTTCTTCCTGCTCTCCTCGGCTCCTGCTAGCTGGGAAGCCTGCTACTGTGCCTCCCTGTTACGCTGCGTCTCCCCTGGCCAGCCTCTGCCAAAGCAGTTACGTCACCCCCTGTCTCCAGGTCCTTTTCCACGGCGTGTGCACCCTTAAAAGGGCTCGTCCTCTTATCTCTTGCCTCTTACTCCTCTCCTTGTCTCTATTGCCCTCTCTTGTCTCTTCTTTTCCCTCGCTTCTCTTGCTCTTGCCTGCCTGCCTCTCTCCAGTCCCCACGCAGTCTTTCACTCATCCACTCTTCAGCTCTCCCCTCCCAAGAAGCTAACTGCTGTCTGTGGCATATTTGCTTGGTGGTCTACCTTGGCAGGGCCCGCCAAAGGCACCCGCTTCACGCTAGGACCTTACCCACCTGCTCCACCTGCAGTGGGTCCGCTCTCTGCCACCTGCACCAAATCGGCTTTCTCATTCACCGACAGCTTTGCCTGCCATCCAGTAACAGCAGTTGAGTCTCTGGTGGGGCCACCGCCTCTGTCCATCCCCCTAGATGGGAGGCTTCCTTTCTTGAGCACAGGCCTCTCCTCGCCTTCTGGCTTTTCTCAAAGTCCTGGTACCTGGCAACTGTGTCTCTCTCTCAGGCTCTTAGCCCTCGGCCACTATTCGTGCGTGATGATGTACTGAACAGCATGTGCCCATTTAATCTGATCCTCCCTGGATCCCTGGGATGCCAGAACACTCGGGCCTTTAGATCTTCTTCTCTCTGCCTCATCCTTGGGAACTGTGTCATACACTTTTTCCCTCCTGTTGGGATGTCTTTTGGAGACCCACTGACCATTCTCTGGACTAGGCAGTTGGGGAACCGAGAAAGAATTCTCCGCTGCCTTTCTTTTTCTTTTTTCTTTCTTTCTTTCTTTCTTTCTTTCTTTCTTTCTTTCTTTCTTTCTTTCTTTCTTTCTTTCTTTCTTTCTTTCTTTCTTTCTTTCTTTTTCTTTCTTTCTTTCTTTCTTTTTTCTTTGCTCCAAGACCTGCTTGTGTCTGTCTGCTCTCCCTGTCTAAATGTTCTGTCTGTCTGCTGCAATGTGCGAGTCAGAGATGGAGAAGCCAGCTTCTTCTGGCACAGCACACACCGGTTCTCCCTTTCTGTTCACTCAACTCCTGTTTAATTCTGTGGATATGGGCGTGTAACTATTAACAGCAACCATGTGGCTCTCCTCTATCTTGGCTGGTGACCTCCTCACTTCTTGTGAGCTCCAAGAAGGCGACTTGGATCTACCTCAAACAATGTCTTGCTAGGTCCAAGCCGTGCTGGACGGTTCCACAGAGCCTGGACAGCAAAGTGAAACAGCCAGTACCCCAGGATGTGGACAGCACCCTAGTTTTCTCAGGTCCCTCAAAGATGGTCGACACCTCCCCAGGCCAGCAGGAAGCAGTCTCAAGAACATGGTGTCCTCATTCCCTCCTCACCTTTCTAACTCCTCACCTTTTTATAATACACAAAAGGGAGGCATGTTAGCATTTAGGCATCTGTACTGGCCTGTCCTCGGGGTCCTGACAGGATATATCTTCAGCGGCAGCCACTAAGAGCTGAGGCTCATCTTGTGCGAATTCACTACATTTCCTTATAAAAGGTGGGCCTTGCCCACCTCCTGTCTCTTTCTCTTTCTCTTCCTTCACTCTCGTCCCCAGGGGCCGGTCTCTGCCCCTTCTCTCCCCTCCCCTCAGTAAACCTCCCATGTGGGTCCTGTTGTATGGTGTGACGCTTTCTTGCTGCTTTTTTTTTCTTCCAGACAGGGTTTCTCTGTGTAGCTTTGTGCCTTTCCTGGAACTCACTTGGTAGCCCAGACTGGCCTCGAACTCACAGAGATCCGCCTGCCTCTGCCTCCCAAGTGCTGGGATTAAAGGCGTGCGCTGCCGCCACCCGGCTTCTTGCTGCTTTTAAATTATAACACGTGGTTCTTGCTTACCCAGGCTAGGTGAAGCCTGTAGTAGATGTCCGGCTTGGCATGTGATGCGCAGGCCCTGATGGAAGCAACACTCAGCCTCTACCAAGGGTGGCACTAGGTAGGGGATGAAATGCAGGGTTCTGGGAAAACACTGTGAGGCTCTGTCTCCACCATGAAGCATAGAGCCCCAACCCAAGGAGATCCTGGGAGTTCAGTCCCACACCCTGGTGACCTCCCACCTCTAGGCTTGGGGCTGAGGAATGCGCAGACCGGGTGTGTCCTCAGAACAGACCTTGCAACCTGAGGTGTTGGAGAATGGAGTGAGTCCTAGGCAGGACACCTGCTCCCTCCAGAAGCCCCCCTGCTGTGGCATGTGTGCTCTTGGTAAGGTGGGGTCCAGATTTGGGAGCCTGCTCGGGACTAGTCCCCGCCGCCGCCGCCGCCGCCGCCCTACTTCATGTACTCTGAGGTTTCCATTCCAGGCCTAGGAATCAGGACGTTTCATGAGACAGGAATGTCCACAGTGGAGCGGGTGAGGGTGGAGGGTCGGGCAGAAAAGGAATGTGCTTTGGGCTGCCTTCTCCTTCCAGCTGGAGGGTAGCCGGTCTAGTAGCTGGGCCGTATGCAAACCACCTTTACCCACCCTCCTCAGCATTTCCCCACCAGCGACCTCTAAGGACTCAGCCCCAACAAAGATGAGCCATTCCTGAGCACTGATTTAGCAAACTATCAGCCTTGGATAATTTGCACTGATATGGATTCTTGGCTATTGATACAAATGTAAACTATTTTCATATTCATATTTAAGATAATTTGTATGTTGATACAAATTCAAAACTATAATTGTCATATTGTATACATGTTCCCACTCCTTTCTGAAATATTTTATGTATTGGTACAAATGTAAAATTATATTTGTCATACTGTTCTACCTCTGTTTAGGATATTTTGTATATTGATACATATTTAGGATATTGTTATCATACTTCACTATATATTTCTTCCTACATTTAAGATATTTTGTATATTGTCACAGTTTTGAGGTCATTGTCCTTATACTGTAACATCTATTTATACATTGTTCACCTTGTTAACATAAAGCCTTAGTCCTTAGGTTATTTAGGTAGATAAGGCTTACAGATTTATAGTCACCAATGCTTGTTATTTCTATAGTTATGTTAGTTAGGTTTTTTTTAGATATACAGAAATATATGTCAAATGGATAGGTAATCTTCAAACACTTCTAGACCTAGAGAATATGGCATTTAAATGTATTAATAACTTAGAATTCTGTTGACATGAGACACAATTGCTCCTGGCAGCACCGATCTACTCCCAAGAGAATGTTGGGCTTCTAAGACATTTCCTTTTGGATGTTTGTCTTCTTGGCACAAAATGTCCTGCTGGGCAAAGAACTGCCCTTGCCTCGACTGCTGACAGTATGAACACTGTCCTTCCGGACAAGCAGGACACAAGGAAAAGTGACTACTGAACCCTGCCAAGACAGGGTAAGATTTCTTTTTTCTTTTTCTTTTTGGTTTTTTCAAGACAGGGTGCTGAGAAACTTTAGGTGACTGTCCAGGCTGCCAGTTGTCTCTGTCTATCTTGCAAAATTTCGGAAATTGCTTGCTTACACTTGACGGGGTTGAAGACTAACAGTTACAGTTACAATCTTCTCATGTCTTAGCCAGAACATATTAAATACCAGATTCAGACTCTTTAGGATAGGACAGACAGCTATTGGAGTGATCTCTGTAACATGCCACTTAACTACGTTCTGGACATCTGGATTTTAGCATGTGTCTCTTGTTTGATGTTGTTCTTGCTGGTTGTAGTTCTATTTTTGTTTAGGTTATTACCTTTCCCCTCTCCTGGACATTACTTGATAATCATTTCTATTGTATGTAGTTTTGTATTAGGTTAGAACTTTCTTATTTAGACAAAAGGGGGAGATGTAGTGGGTGGTTGTTCTATGACCTTGAAGCACCACCCCTAGAGAGGTAGCAGGTAACTGCTCTACCTGCCTATGACCTTGAAGTACATGCCCCTGGGTCATGGCCTCTTGTCAACCTTTAAGACCTAAGACGCAAGTAGGCACGCTCTCTCTTCGCTCCCTCATAGTTTGGATGAGGGACTGAGACAGGCAGCCGGAACTGCATTCCAGAACCTGCGACAATTCTGTTCTGTACAATGAGTTTTTATCCCCTAATAAATTCTGTTGCCCTTTAAGCAGGCTCTGTGGATTTCTTGCTATTCCATGAAGTTACCTGAGGCAAGAAGAAAGCTGTTTGAACCTTACTCTGGGCCACAGTGGCCCGGAGTAAATACCTAGCAACTCTGGATGTTGCTAGGTTATTTAAATGTTATGATCATATGACTCACTGAGGGTTAGCCATCTCATTTTATAGAAGTGGAGAGATAAGGGACCCTGTCTGTTAAGGAGGGAGGAGACCGGAATCCACCTCTTCCTAGACCAAGGGTGAGGAGGAGGGCAAGGGCCCAAGTACTCTACTTGATCAACCAGTGATCCACAGGGGCAGCCACTCAAAGTGGGGAGGAGGGCCTGAGCATCGTCCCTGCTTGGTGGATTTCTTAGGCCTTGGCTTCTGGGCAGATCTCCCTGTTTCTCCCAGACAGAAACTTGGACTCAGAGCCATCTTGTTCTTGAAGCTGGCCTCAGCTGTATTTTTCCAGATGCCACCAATACGGTTCACATGACGGAGGCCCTGAAGGTGTGGCTGCCATCTGAGTCGACAGGTGGCCTGGAGAGGTGGGGAGCCACCAGAGAAGAGCCATGATTCAGCCCAAGCAAGGTCACCCCACCCAAGTCTAGTACAGAGAGAAGTCTCAATCAGTCTAGCTTTGGTGGGGCAACTGTGAAAAGAGGCAGGGAGGCCTGCCTGGGACAGCAAAGCCACCACCCCGGCTTCGTGTGTTGTCTGCAGCACAAACAGGTGTGACATCCCAACACGCAAAACCTCTCTGGACCCGTTTCCTCCTCAAGAAAATAAAGCTTCTACCACAGGGTGGTCTGTCTAGTCTGAAGAAGCTGGAAAGTGAGGTTGAGCTAGACTTAGGAGATCGAGAGACAGTGGGGGGGGGAGACCCCTCCCCCACCCATAACCAAGCTTTTGGAATGCTTCTGCCCCCTAGTGGTGACTCACAGTTAGAAGACCTCGGTTTGGGAATACCGGACTGGAAATCCTCCTGCCTGGAAACCCAGCTTCCTGTGTCCTCCACCCCGGGACCTTTGCCACTCAGGGGCCCTCTTCAGCTCGTGTGCGTTCTGAATGGACCGCAAGGCAATCACAGCCTGTGCACAGGGCGCCCACAGGTCACACAGTGTGGCGCCTGCTGTTTCCACCCTCATCCTGCAGCATGGGGGCACCCGGTCAGGCCCTGGGAAATACCACTCCCTGCTCACAGCCTCCGTCTAGCGTGAGACCAGACAGGCAAACGGTGGTTTGTGGAGAAAGAGGTAGAAGAAGTTGGGGGCTGCTCAGGAGCATGACAAGCTGTGGGGAGTGACACTTGGAAATAAGGCGTGGCCAGCAACTGTGGGTTTGTTCTTGACTATAGGTGTGTTCAGGGTACCTGGTCCTTCAGCCTCATGGCTGGAAAATTTTGCTTCTCTGTTCAGGATATCTTCCTGCAGCACTTCCAGAGAGCGGGGTCATCCTCTCTTCAGGGTGGCCAGATGGCTACCTGTGCCTCCTGATCCTCCACCCTGAGCCTGGCCAGGAGTGGGAGCTGAGAGAAACAAAGACCTCGTCTTATCTCTGTAGTCCATCCACATCCCTTTTCCCTAAACCTGGTCAAGGGGCTAAAATGACAGAGAGGGTGGACAGCGTTAGGTCTCTTCCCTTTTAGTGCTGGGCTCTGGGGACTTCCTGGCTGACTGAAGCATCCTAGAGGCAGGTAGAGCGGGAAGCTTGTGACTTCTGGGGACCCGTGGGGTAGGGCTGAACTCAGCAGTATTTGTGGGGCAGGATGCAGAGAAGGTGGGCGAAACATGCTCATGTGCAGTGCGTGTGTGCGTGTGTGCGTG